GAGGACAGTTGGGTTTTTTTGTTTGTTTATTTGGGGTTTTTTGGCAGCTGGCATGTATGGCCAGGTTTTTTCTAATTTACAAAATATGTAGCTTGATGGGAAGAACAATGAACATGGAATTAGAAGCCTTATCATATTCATTCCTGCCCCTTATTAGCTGTTTATAAGAACTTGGGCAAGTTGTTTTATGTTCCTGAACCTCAGTAATTCATCTGTAGAATGGGGATAAAAGTACCTGTCCTGCCGACATCACAAAGGTTTTGAAAATTGGAAGCAGAGCGGTAATGCTGGAAAGAACACCAGTGCTCAGAATCCAAAAGATCTAGGGTTAGGATCCCAGCTCTGATGCTTCCTAACTGTGTGACCTGCACCTCTGACTGAAACTCCCTGAGCCTAGGGTATTCTCATCTGTGGGTGAGTCTGATAAAATGCCTGGCACTTAATAGACACTCAGAAAATGATCTTTGCCTTCTCTCTGAACTTGCCTATCTCAGTTATTTTGAGACACAATGAGATTGAATGTGAAAATGTGTTATTCTCTGTACTATGCTTTATGCTTGGAATATTTCAAAATTTCTTAAAAATAGGCTTTAGAAACCTAAAATGCCATGAAATCTCAGATTGAGACACAATGAGATTGAATGTGAAAATGTGTTATTCTCTGTACTATGCTTTATGCTTGGGATATTTCAAAATTTCTTAAAAATAGGCTTTAGAAACCTAAAATGCCATGAAATCTCAGGATGTAAGTACTGTAAATGAACTTAGATTTCATCTAAATGTTACATATCCTTATAAAACAAACACAGCAATTCAAGACAAGAAGTAACAGCTATACTCATATCATGCAAAGCTGTGCATTTCTCAGCTAACTTGGAGAAGTAAACATTGCTAACAGTGACTATCCCTCAGGCTTTTTAAGCTTCCAGCACAAGAAAATTAGGCTATTTTAAAAATCACTTGGAAGTATTGAATGTATAAATGGCAAAAAGGAAAAAAAAAAAAGAAAATGATAAATGGGCACATTAATTCTCCCACCCACCCTTGCCTCCATTTCCCACTCTGGTGGACATCACTGTTAATCAAAGCCTTTCCAGTGATAACTATCTTTCAACAAACTATTTTTACCTCTAGGTGGCAGCAAATATTAATCGAACTTGAACAAATCTGATGAAAAGAAAGGGTGGTAGCATTTTGAACAAGAAAAATGACTGCATATCTTGGGAAAGAATTATGAGAATGAATTCTTTGTTTTTATGTGTTTTTAAAGGAGTTACATTAAATTATATTGTTTAAAGCTCCAGAATTGTCTTCCATCTTGCAAATTGAATTTCTCAATCACTAGCAATTTAAGTCTTTTTTAAAAAGATGTGTAAATGAGTATCTTGATTAAAAAGATGGACATTTCTGGAAAAAGTTGATTGTAAATTAAATTTTTATCATACTTTACAATTAACTCACCTCATAATTGAGATACCCTGTTTTTATTTCTAGCACAGCCTTCGGTTTCTGAGTCAGTTACTAATATTTTTCCAAGTAAAGAACCATGGAATTTAAAGTTATTTAATAGAACATTGTGGCCAGTATTTTTAAATCAAAAAAACTCTAAAGTAGTAGTAATTTCCTTAATTAATTTAACATAATTTTGGATTTTTGTGCATCACCTTGTTTTTAGTGTAGATAATTCTGCTTGAATTTTTAAAGCATTTATATTTTTGCCACTTTGTTAAGAGGATTTTAATTTATTTTAATGTATTCATTATAATATATTTTCTCTTTTATTTGCTAGTAATGTAGGGGGTTTGGGGGGGGAGGGTTTGTTTTGGAGGCTGGCCGACATAGCAATCTATCAAACCCAGGACCTTGGTGTTATTAGCACCATGCTCTAACCAGTTAAGCAACCTGCCAGTCCCTGTAGGTTTATATTTTAATAACAGCTTTATCGAGATACAATTCACACATCATACAATTCAGCCATTTAAAGTAAATAATTCATTGGTGTTAGTATATTTACGGAGTTGTGCATCCATCATCATATTGTAGCTTTCTTGATTTACTTTTTGTGGATAGAAAAATCCCAGTGGTATAAAAGATCCTTGAACTGGGAATTGGAAAACTGGCTTACTAGTTTTGGCTCTGCCCTGCTGTAAGCAAATGTATGGGCCTCTAGCCTTTGAAATGCAAAGATAGAACCATTCATTTAGTTATTCAAAAGACAACTAAGTTTCTTCTCTGTGTATGCCAAAGGAATAAAAAAAAAAAAGACACCACATTGCTTGTCCTCAAAGAGCCCACAGTCTAGCTGGTAGATACTAATAAGATCTCATCCAGCTCTAATTTTCATTGTTTCTTCATCCTCAAGCAATGACAATTAATACTGAAGGAGTGTTAGAACAGTTAAACCTCCTGGTCATTTAGAACAGAAAAGTTCTGGTGAGTGGTTGAGTATTTGAACACTAGGTAGGACTGTGTTCTTTGTGACTAAAACTTCACTCTTTGCAATTCAAGTAGACTGTTAACGGAGGAGACCACATGTGACTTTTTCTTTTTTCTGTCTTGAAAGGTACTCACAAATCAGTCCTTTGAAAGTCCCTTCCAGCGTTGCCCCTTCCTCTCTCCACTAAAGATTTTGTCCCTGGCAGTAGTGATGATGTTATCTATGCAGTTCAGGTCGGAGCATTCCCAGTAAGATACAAACAGCTATTCACAAATCTGAGGACCTTCTTTTTTTCCCAGGCCTCTCTGGCAGTGTCCCAAGAGTTCACTGGCTTTTCTCTCTGAACAACAAATAACAGTGCTGCTGAGACAAGTTCCTAGTTCACCTTTCGTTGAAGAACCAGATCAGCACAGTAGCAGAGTCTTCCAAACTGACATTTTTCCTTTGAGTAAGGATGCTTTTATTTTCACTCTCTTAACCTTAAATAGCAAAAAGACTGCTTTCTTACAGCCTAAGTAGAACAACTTTCTTGGAGAACAAGTGGTATTTTGTTAACTAGGGAAATTTCCCCAACTTATTCTTTTCTTTGTATCTTTGAATAAGCATCTCAAAATAGCTTCTCATTTCACTGAGTTTCTGTAAAAGCCACCAAAAAAAGGGAGGGCAAAGAATTAATGAGAAGGAGCTGGTGAGTGAGGATGAAGAAAGGGAGTGTGGAAGTACAGAGCATCACAGGGTTGTGGAAGGAGCACTGGGCGAGTCAGGGGACAGGGTCCTGGTGTGGTATACCAAGACTTCTCTTGGAGAAATCCTTCAACCCCTCTGGGCCTCAGTTTCCTCATCAGTAAGATGAAGAGGTTGCCCTACTACATCCATGATTGGATATGGAATACAAGGTTTGGGAAAGTTATTGCAGGAGTATCAACATAGGAGTTATTGTAGGACTGCAAAATTTGTTTCAGTCATCTTTCAAGATAAGAACTTAACCAGAACAGATCCCTGACTATGCGAATAATTCAAAATATTTAAAGTTGAATTTGCCGAGTGTGAGGGTGTTACCCTGATTTTTTGCCATTGACTCATTATGCAACCTTAAGCAAGTCATGTTCCTGGGCTGTTCCTTGGTTTTAATCTCTGCAGATGATTGCAGTAATACTAAACTCACCCAAGTGCTGAAAGGCTTAATTAAGGTCTATTAAATCCTCATAATTATAAGGGTGGAGGAGGTGGTGTTGAATCAAGTGACTTACCTTCCATCTGTGAGGTTTGTATGTTATGAATATTACTTTAGAAAAAAGTAGGGAGAAAAAGGTAAAAGATAAAATTTAGCTTCTTAACCCTGATTTATAAAATAATTATGTTTTAAATACTGCTTTTTATAAGGAATAAAAAAGAGAGAAACTATATCTTGGGATACACATCATTCTCCTCTTTGCTTTCTGATAAAATTTTATTTTGGAGTTTCTCATGGTATCTTTTATGTTGCCATCTTAATTTTGTCAGAAATGATCTGTATTTGACAAATGTAAGGCAACTTATGCCCTGTTTTCTGGAGTAGGAAGAAAATTCATTGACAGCACCAAATGGTTTAGAGATGGATACATTTCAGATATATGGGAATCTTTATTAGGGACTTCTAGCCCTTTTCCGTGGTATAGAAAATCAGTCAGAAGCAGCATAATATTTTCAAAAGATTATGGTGGGAGTATAAATTGATATTACCACTCTGAAGAGCAATCTAAGGTATATACTTTTACTTCTAAGTATATATCTTAGAGCAGTACTCAAAATGTGCTCCATGGATGCAGCAGCATTAGCATGACTTGGGAACTTCGTAGAAATGTACATTTTGAGGCCTCACAAGGTCTACTGAAGCAGAAACTCTGGTGGTTGTACCCCAAAATATGTGTTTTAAAGCCCTCCAGGTGATGCTGTTAGCAAAAGGCAAGAACCCCTGGCCCCAAGAAACTCTTGCACTGTGCACCAAGAAACACACAAGGAAGCTCACTTCAGCTAAGGGTTTGTGTGCAGTATCTCATATCATCTTCCCAGCAACCTTAGCTTGCTTCTCTTAACCCCATTCATTCTGTTGATAAGGATTTATGCCCATAGAAAGAGAGCTAATAAGATGTGGAGCTGGACTTGAGCACATTTTCTTATTACACTGTGATCTTTAAAACCAAGAATCTCAGAACAGACTGGAGCTCTTTGTATTTTAATGGATTTAGGGAAAGTCAGAGACAACAGCTTCTGCTGTGTATTTAGGAGAAGAACCCTTTTTATTGAGAAGCAGTCACTAATATTCTGAGCCCATTACATTTATTATCAGATTCAGTCTTTGTTGCAACTCTGATGCAAATCTGTCATCCTCTTTTTATAGATGAGGACTTAAGTTACAAGAATTTGAGTGATTTGGCCAAACTCACAGCTGGTAATTACCTGGACTTGAGCCTTAAGTACTTGGCCTTGGGCTCTGACCTGTCTCCAAAACCCATGCTTTTTATACTGTAGCTAATATTTTTTCCTTTTCCTTTATTCAAGTTCAAATCAGTGTATCTTGAGATCACGAGATAGAGCATAGAGCATGAACTGCCCAGGTTATATATGGGCAAGAACAGAGGTGAGTACTAAAGAAGTAAAATGCCTTAGTCCACTAGAAAATTAAGTGAAGAACAAGACGATGATAAAACTATAAAGTAATAAAGTTCCCAAAGGGCATTTATTCTTTTTCAAAATCCATAGTGAGTTTTCTCATTTAAGAGGAATATTTTGTTTTCTTTGGCATTTTCATCCTTTCCTGTCTCATAATTTCTCTGACTGTGGCATAAAACAGAAGATTCTGGGATTGCTTATTAGAATAATTTTGTGTCAACTGTACTAATATTCCAAGTTCTTCAGCGGTAAGAGTTTGGGATAGTTCCAGTGCATATTTAAACCCATGGCTTGAGTAACACTCCACTTCTGGAATTTCTCTTCTTAATGTTCTGCTTTTTTCAGGTGAAAATTTTAGCAATGGATGAGAATGTCATTCTTAGATCAGCCCTTGATAAAAATCTGAAGAGTGCCGTGACCACTGCTTTCCTCATGCTCCCTGAAAGCTTTTCTGAAGAAGACCTCTTTATAGAGATTGCTGGACTCTCCTATTCAGGTTAGTATGGTTGATGCCCACATTTTCTGCAAGAAGGAGATTCGTTATTTAAGAGCTAATATCTGCTCCTCACTCTGCATTGGCATTTCAACAATCTTAGTTCTAAATTCCATCACTCTATATGTAGTTCACCGCAGTAACCTTGTGATTTGTCTGCCCGTCTCTAAGGTCTTCTCTCCGCATCTCTACCTATGAGGGTACTTTTAAAAGTTCATGGAAAGATTTGCATTATCTTTTAATTTTATTTTTCCACAGACTTTTTGAGGTGCCCTCATTTATTTTCCCAGGATAATTTTTTTGTTCTTATTGTTAATTTTTATTTTGAAACAATTTCAAAGTTACAGAAAAGTTTCGAGAATAATATAGAATATTCCCATATACCCTTTTCCCAGATTGACCAGTTTTAATATTTGTTTTCTCATTCTCTCCGTATCAGTGGTTTTCAAACTTTAGCATGCATCTGAACGACCTGGAGAGCTTATTAAAACAAATGGCTGGGCCCCACCCCCAGACGGCTGATTTAGTAGGTTTGGGATGAGGCCCAAGAATTTGTATTTCTCGTAAGTTCCCTTGTGATGCTGATGCTCCTTCAGGGATCCCACTTTGAGAACTACTGCTCTCTCTGTATATGTAAATACACTGTATTTATTTTCTTCTGAACTGCTTGAGAGTAGGTACCACATATCATGTCCCCTTTAGGCCATATACTTCAGTTTGTGTTTCCTAAGAATATGGACATTCTCTTACATAATCACAGTACAGTTATCAAATTCAGGAAGTTTAACACTGATGCAATGCCTATATCAAGTTGGCAATCCCTATTCCAAATGTCAGTTGTCTCAATAATGTCCTTTATGGCATTTTTTTCCTCAAGGACATAATCCAGTCAAGGATCATATACAGATGTTGCTTGACTTATGATGGTGTTACTTCCCAATAAATCCATTGTAAGTTGAAAATATTGTAAGTCAAAAATGCAGTTAAACACCTAACCTACCAAACATTATAGGTTAGCCTAGCCTACCTTCAGTGTACTCAGAACACTTACATTAGCCTACAGTTGGGCAGAATCATCTAACACAAAGCCTATTTTATACTGAAAGTGAAAAACAGATGGTTGTGTGGGTCTTGAAGTACGGTTTCTACTGAATGCCCATCACTTTTGCAGTATTGTAAAGTTAAAAAAACGTGAATCAAACCATCATTAATTCGGTCTATATTGTTTTTAGTTGCTGTGTCTCTTTTATCTTTTAATCTCGAGCACTTCCTCAGTCTTCCCTTGCCTTACATGACATCACATTTTTCAGCACTGTGCTCTAACCAACTGAGCCAACTAGCCAGCCCAGCATTCACATTTTTTTAAGTTTACAGGCCAGTAATGTTTGCCCCATTATAAGCAGCGTTTTCTCCCTTATTTGCATAAAGATCATGCAAATATCTTGCTGCTTATCACACTTTCCCTCCTAGATTTAGCACCCATTGATGATTCTTGCTCGAACCAGTCTTTACTAGGAGGGTTTCAACGTGGTGATTTTCCAACTCCACTTTCTTCCTCCACGTTAAGAAAAGGTTTCTCTTCTTCCCCATTCATTTATTTATCTAAATGTTAACTTCCTTTCTCTTTCCCTTTAATTCATTTGTGTTCCTTCGAGATGTCAGAGTTTCCTTTAAAGGGCAAGCTGAGAGGATAGAGTCCCTGGCCTCTCACCTAGCTGCAACCAGGGGAGCACCACATTCATCTGTTTAGTATAGCAGGATTCCACATAAGATTTTATTTACAAAATAAGTGGTTTGCTACTTAAAAAAGAGTTTGAAAAACACTCTCTTAAATAAATACCCTCTTTCTCCATTTTTAAGTGTGAGTCAAAGAACCCTGTGCTCACACATTGCAAAAGCATTTACTTATTCTCTGAATCCAAGAACAGATAAGATTTCATAGAAATTTAATGCTGGAAAGAGACCTTAGAGGTCTTGTTCTTAAGTCTTCTTCCCAAAATGCATCTAGCACAGCTACAGCTGTCACCGCAACACTCAAGGGAAATGAAGTGAAATGACCTCGGTCTTTGGTTGCCTCCAGCTTCACCTGGCCGCATCCCTGCCTTTTAACAAAAAGGGAGGCAGGGGGCATGGCTGTGTACCAGAATGATTGGGCTTATGTGCAACGTGTGGGAAAAGAGGGTCTCTTTATTAGGGTCATTCCTTCCTCATAGTCCCCTGTGTGGAAAAAAAGATGGAACAGAAACGTTTTGTGAAGTGTTGACCTTGTGGGAGAAGATGCAGGACTGTTCTCTGCTTTGCCCACACCACTAGCAGTCGTCTTTTTTTCCTGTGTAATCAACATCAGCATAGTGTTGGGTGGATTCTGGGAGTTCTCTATAAATTCTGAACATTGACTAAAGAAGTTTATTGAATGATATAACTGCTTTCACCTATTTGCAGACCTTCTTAATTTAGCACTCAAGCTACTACCAATCTTTAGCAGGTTTTTGCCAGAACTAGGCCAGAGTAGTGAGGGTAGAAATAAATCCAGGCCTTGCAGGTAGATCTCTTGTATAGGTATGAGACTTGCCCCAGGCAATATGACGAAAGGCACGTTTTCTTCCTGCCTTTCCTAGACTTCTGAGAACCCAGTATCCTTGATTTGATTGGATTTCTGTCCCTGAAGCAAACCACCAAACTCTCTGATGCCCTCAGAATATTTCAAAATTCACATTACTCACCAATCTCTTTTTTTAACTTTGACATTTTCCATCTTTTTCCAGTTGAGAGATTATATGCCCCTAATCGGTGAAGTTCAATATTTCTCCCGGAGGGGAGATAGGAAGGGGAAGGAACCCAGAAAACAATGTCTTTCCATGTTATTATACGAGTTCCTGCCAGTAATTACTGGCAGAGGCAAGATGTATCAACATTACTAGTAACAATAATAACCCCTTACATTTTATATAGTATTTAAAGATTACTTTGACTGCCCTGGGGTCAGTATTTATGGCAGTGTTATTGTAAATGATGGGTGGGAAAGGAGTAGGTGGAGAATGAGAGCCTGCAAAACTGAGGAGGAGAAAGCTTTCTAATCCTTCAGTTGTTCTTAGAAGTCAGCATTAAAGTAGACAGAAGAGGAACACGAAATAAATTTTAGAGGGTCACCTTGAACTTTCTTATGTAAGCACAGACTATTAAAATGACCAATTTTAGGTAATGATCCTGGCTTAACATATATCAAGTGAATCAGTATCCCATACCCTATAAAGAACTGAAGAAAGAATTTCTGCTCTGAGCAACTTTACATTAATAAATATATGCAGTCACAGTGAGTCAGTGGTAGACTCAAAAACAACACGTGTGAAAATGGCAAGCAGCATGTGAAAGAACATGCAGATTGATGTGAGTGAAGTCCACTGCTTACAGCAGGAGAAAATAGCATTTATTATTGGCTGCTGGGAACTACTGTCAGTACTTTTGATGTAATAACTAGCTTAATCCTCACATTTGGGTGCTGTATCCTCACCCCATTTTACAGTTGAGGAGACTGAAGCCCAGAGATATTACCTAAGGTCACTTATCTAGTAGGTTGTGGACCTACTATCACCTACCAGTTTACCAGCTTGAGTACCAGCATCCTGGATGTGTTTGAACCTTTCCAAGCCCCCCGTTTTCTTACTTGTAAAACTGAAATAACTTATAAAGAAGTTTTCAGTGAGAAAATATATATAAATAACCCCCCCCAGCATCTTATTTCATTCATAGTCCATACTTAGAAAATGATTGCCATTATTATTTATTATTTTTATATATTATTCTTGGTTCCATAGGTTTTTCTCAGGTTGAGACATTGTAATTTGCTCATTCAGTGATTAATGGACACTTAGGTTAGCTTTTTTTTTTTTTATCACTTTTTATTAATGGCGCTACTGTGAATCACTCTGTACAAATTACTTTGGTAGGGGAAGGGGCAAAGGGGGGCACTAACTATCTTGGATATGTTCTCCAGAGTGGAATTATGTTGTCAGTTAACAATAAGAATTATAAAACTTGTTACATGTTGACAAATAATGGCTATCAAAATAGCAGAATACTAAAATCAGGTGGATTGAAACTTGACAGCCCCAATTCATCTGGCCTTTTAAGGTCCTTAAGGAATGAAAAACACCTTCAAGCATTCTGGTATAAGAGAAAGAATGGGTTTCTTTCAGTGCCAGATTGTCTGAACACAGGCTCAACTACTTCTAGGAATTAGACAAAGCAGTTGCCAGTTGAGTGTTTCATGGGGGGAAGAAACCAGCAATAGGTGCCAGCACTCTAAAGTGTGAGCACACATCCCCATTTCTGGATTCTGGTAAAAGCCAGTAAACTTTTTCTCTGGAGTGAAAACTGTTAAGATTTATCAGTGATGGTCATACCATCTGAAACCTTCTAGCAGTGCCATTGGATGATCTGCATATTGGGGGTGACTATTTCAGGAATTTGGAAGTCTGTTTTTCTGTGCTTGGCATGCTGGAGCTTTTGCTGAAGCCTTGGCTGGAACTCTGTGTACTCAGTCACTTGCTAGTTTCTGAGAATGCAGCACTCCTGAAGGGATATTAATAACTAATAATATCTAACATCTATGGATTATTTACTGTGTGTAAGATATTACTCTAAGTGTTTTAAAATAGTACCTGACATATACAAGGTTGCTCAGTAAATATTTGATGAGTGGATAAATGGTTGTGATACTCGTTTCTTCCTGATCCAATATAGTGAACTTGATTCCTCCCTCCCCCTCCCTAGGCCTAGAGAACACAGTGTTCTCTAAAGTGCAGAAAAGAAAAAGTGGTTCAAATTTATATCAGCAAGTACATCAGCAATTTATCCTTATCTCATTCTCTTCCACATGCGAGTTAGTGCAGTATAGTGTCTTTTCTGGAGATATTTTTGAGAATGCATTTTGAATGGTACGTTAGACTGTCTCCTTGAAATTCAGCCTTGGTCATTTTCATTAAAGTAAATATTATTTGGTC